GATTACCCCAGTCACTGAATCAATCCACCTCATAGAGGGCCTTCCCCTCCTGCACTGTCCCTCCACCCTCCCAAGCATGATGTCCCTCTCCAAGGACCGATCCCTCCTTACCACATGTTCAAAGTATGTTAGATGGAGCCTCAGAATCCTTGCCTTCAAGGAGCAGCCCAGTTTAACCCTTTCCAGGATGAATCTGTTTGTTTTCCTAGCAGTCCATGGTATCCTCAGTACTCTCTTCCAGCACCACAGCTCAAAGGCATCAATTCTCTTTCTATCCTCCTTAGTCATTGTTCAAGTTGAGTAGAATAAAGGAAAAAGAAAAAGAGACTGCAGTGTACATTTTACCTGGTAACCCTTTAATCAGTTCGAAAATAGAATATAAATGACACATTAACAATTATTTTAAAAAGGTAAAATGGAATAATCAAAAAGACATAAAGAGAATAATTGAAATGTTCACTACTATAGAGAATGTAGCCAATGCCGCTAACAATGTTTTTATGTGCCATCGAGTCGCTTGTGACTCATAGCGACCCTATGTGCAACATTCCTAAACTCTGCTCTGTCCTGTGCCAATCACACCGTCTCCAACACACCCATCCCAATTATCCCAGTCACTGAATCAATCCACCTCATAGAGGGCCTTCCCCTCCTGCGCTGTCCCTTCACCCTCCCAAGCATGATGTCCTTCTCCAAGGACCGGTCTCTCCTCACAACATGTCCAAAGTATGTTAGATGGAGTATGTTAACAATGTGTAGAAACAACTAAATGTCAACCTTATCTGCTGTGTAAAGTTTTACAAAAAAAAAGAAAAAGAATACTTTTTTAATAAATGGAGAATTATAGCATGAATTCTTCTGAACAAAGAGAAATAGGCTAAAGCTAGACTTTCTTCAAAATATAGGTCTTCCATTGGGGTGTTATTCTTTATTTCAGTGGAATGTAATTTTTTAAGCCAAACATGAACAGTGAGGATATTCCTGAATAGGAGTATCTCTGACTCAAGGTTTTATGTTTTTGTTGTTGTTATATGTCCTCAATTCGGAACCGACTCATAAACAACCTCCCTGAAGATTTACAGACACAGTTTAATCTCTCAGAAGGAAATTGCTCATCTTTCTCTCTCAGAGGGACTGGAGTATTCAAATTGCATGACTTTGGAATTGCAGGGCAATTTCTAACCACTAGGTCACCAAAGCTCCCATCTTTCTATTATAGATACCCAAATTCTACCCATGAAAGAAAATATATCAGCATCAAGCCCTTCCATGTTAGAACAGAATCTGAGTCACTACTATTTGTTTGTTTATTTATGTATTTATTGTTGAATGCATTTAAATGTAAAAAACCACTGACATGGTCCCACTGAAAAAGGGAACCACATAGCCCTATTCAGTAGACAAACCTGATTTTATAAAAACTTGTTTCTGAGAAATATTTTTATTTATACTTCTTGTTACCATTAAAAGCTCAGGTAATACGGCTCTAGGTCTGACTCTGCATTTCAACAATTTCTAAGGAGAAGCAAATCGGCCAAAAAAGAGGATGCATTTGGAGGCATTGTGTTTGATAAAGAAAAGGAATGGATGGTTGGCATTGAAATGCCTGAAATACATCACAGTAGAGTCTTGTGAAATAGACGTTCTTGTGGCAGCTGCAGCCTCTGTACCTCCTTCATTTACTTCCACAAAGGATTGATGAACAACATCTGATATAAAAAGATCTGTGGCTCCTGATATGCCAGACAGATCTGCCTTACTAGGATTAAATATATCCTGCACATCCAGGCGGGCCAGGTGGGAGTTGAGATTATACCTCTCTTCAAGCTTGAACCTAGGCAAGCTGACTTTGATTTGAATTGGCTTCAAATTATCAGAATTGGTCCATTCATCCAGTTTATCCAAAGTCAACTGTTCCTCAATCTGGAATGAGAATTTAAATTAAAAAAAAAGAGTAAATTAACCCAATCTCATTTAAAATAATTGTTGATGTTGATTGCCTTATATTGACCCTATATATAAAAGGCTTGACATCTCTCTATAACTATTGACATTTATGTTTAGGAAGAAGATGCTACTATTGCTACCAAAATGTAACAAGCAAAGTACAAAACTATCATTGGTACTAGTATTTAAATAAATGGACAAACAATTTTGTCTAGTTTGTTTCCTTCATGTTTATGTAAAATCGGATATTTTGGGAAGGACTTGGTTCCTTTTGGAAATTGATAGCAACTGTTGATAATAATAACATCAAGTTCCAGGCCATCAAGGCCCAATGATAAGGACTTTGAACTAAGAAGGCCTTTTATTCATAACCATCCATACTTCTTTCATCATCCATTTGCCATCCATTCATCCACTCAGAATTTACCAAGTCCTAATCAGACATGGATCACTGTGATAGGCCAACATGATGCTGTCAGAGTGCTAATTGGTGGAGTGATACAAGGATATATTGACATATCATCTTCTCTTCATTTTTAGCTCCATTGTGGCTGGTGAAACTCGGTGCAGCTAAGGAAATCAGTGTTAATAGATTTAGTCCTGATAGCCTAGTTGGTAAGAGTTATACCAGCAATGCAAAGGCAGTTAGTTCCAATCCACAAACTGCTCCAGGAGAAAAGAAGCAATATACTTCTATAGGATTTACTGTTAACTAAGAGTCAATTCCCAGTTGATGACAATGAGAGTGAGAAACTGAGATGAAATATGAAAAGTCAGGCATTATGCTAGGGCGACATCTTCATGTGAAATAGAATGAAAATACTCTCCTTTTAGTATTGTTGGAGCATTACATAGTTTAATCTCTATAAAGTACTTGGCATTCAGAAAGTGCTACATAAGAGAAAGACCCTTAGGGAGATGAACGGACACATTTGCTTAAACAATGAGTTCAAAAGCAGCAATGATTGTAAGAATGTCACCGGAACGATTAGTGTTTCATTGTGTTGTTCACAGTGTTCCTATGAGTCACAGTCAGTTGAATGTCACCTAACAACAATAAAATTATTCATTATACTTTTATTATTACTATCAAACTTTAATGACATCATTGTTTCACTCATTCTATTCATGTTAAACTTTTTATGAGAGAAAGGGGTTTTTTTTAAAGTCATGAATGATAGAAATAGAAAATCTCATTAAAATAAACAATCTATCAAATTTCATACATACAACATAAGTCTAAATAAATAATATTAGACCCTATTCATAACAGAAAGCTTGACTTGGATAAAAATGCACACATTTTGAACCAATTAACTGTATTCGTAATAATAAGTAATAAAATTAACCTTTTTTAAAAATCACACAAATAGTATATAGTAGGAACCTCGTAGAAAAACTCGGCCTAGTTCTAGCCCTAAGAAGAGACAAAACAAACAAAAAGGACCCACAAAAACAGTACTTCTCACTTGCCAAAAAACAAACAACTCACTAGCCATTGAGTCAGAACAACCTAATAGCGGAGTTTTTAGAAGCTTCAAGTCCCCTAGGTAGAGGTCCTCCATCTTTCTTCCTCAGAGAAACTGGTAGATGTCAGAAATCTAAATTACATGCACTGGAAAGCATATGGAATGCTTATATTAGAAAGTAGGACTAATGTTCCCAGTACCACTACTCCTCTTCTATCATGAAAGTTTTGCAAATATAATTCATGATCTATATGTAGCATTATTGTTTTTGTTGAGTACAGTAGAGTCAGAATCGACCCATAGTTGGCCCTCCAACAGGTTAATTAACTTTCCAGTGTGGCAGATGACTCTACAGCAAGTTATTTAAACCTCCAGTGGGTTTTCAGAGGCAGTTAATTGCCTGGGAGTAGAAGACACAACCCTGCTTGCTGAAACTGAGGAGAACCAGAAATGTTTGCTGCAGAGGGTCAAGGACTGCAGCCTTCAATATGGATTAAAGATTATCATCAAGAAAACAAAGATTCTTACCACTGGGATAATTAGCAGCATCATAATAGATGGTGAAGAGATTGAGATTGTTAACAGTTTCAGGTTGTTTGGCTCTATAATCAACACTTTTGGTGTACCAGCAGCTAGGAAAGGAAAAGACTTTGTATTGAAGCAGCTTTTAATTGAAAAGTCTGCTGTCAAAGAACTCTCCAAAGTACTCAAGAGAAATGATGCCAGTTTGGAGACCAAGGTGCACCTGATACAGGTGGTCATGGCCTTTGCAATTACTTGCTATGTATCAAAGAGCTGGATAATGACTAGGAATGATAGAAGAAAAATTGAAGATTTTTAGCGTTGGTGCTGCAGAAGAATATTAAATATACCATGGACTTCTAGGGGAACAAACATGTTCAACCTGTAAAGGTTGAACCCAGGCTACTCCTTGGAAGCAAGGATTCTGAAGCTTTGTCTGTCATAATTTAGGTATGTTGCAAGACAGGCTCAGTCCTTGGACAGGGACATCATGCTCTGGAGGGTGGAAGGACAGTGCAGGAGAGGAAGATCTTCAGTGAGATGGATTAATTCAGTGACTGCGGTAATGTGGGTATGTGTGCCAGAGAAATAAGACTGTCACAGGATAGGGCAGGGTTAGAGCTATTGTACATAGATAGGGTCACAATGAGTTGCAGGTGACTTGATGGCACCACAAGAACAAGATATGTAGCATGCTAATAATGATTATAATTTCTTTGTATTTGAAGCAGCTATACATTATAATGTTTTCAGTTTCATTTTCTGTCTTTTTTTCTCCTTCAAGGAAGCAATCCTCTGTGCTGCGTTTACCTGTAAAGTTGATCCCAGAGCAGAACTTACATAATTTTCTGGAAACAATACTAAATTTAATGCTGTTCTTTAGATGTCTGCCATCACTCTGATTTGTACACCTTTCCTTAATCTTTTAACCTAGGATATTGAGGTAGTAAATGTAGGTGGAATAATTTCAAGGGACTCAGAATGAACTGGGAAGGAAAGTCAGTGTCAGTAAATGGTGACAGAACATTTCCCAACTGACATACAAGGGAGGCATCGGGCAATCTCAGCATTACCTTCTTCAGACCTGTGGAGTCATCTTCAATGTCATGTGGCAGCAGGATGACCATGCTGAGGTCGTTGTCTTTATAAGGCAGTACTAACACATAGCACTTTACTTCATCGATATAGCCGTATGGATATGTCTTCTTCTGACACATCATCTTCACCATTTTTTTATCTTTCTGAGCAGGTCAAAGAGACATATCAGTCAAGTTAACTGTATTCTTTTATAGTAAGAAGTTTTTTTTTAAATTTTATACTAGCTTATTTATAAAATTAGAATACATCATTTTTGAGAACAGATTATTTCCATTACCCTCACACCCCTCCCCCCTCAAATTACTTTTTAACGTTCCATTTGCTTACTTTATTCAAATGGAATTGGTCTTCCTCTGCTTCGTTTTTGTTAAATATGTTCTTCCACTTCCCCATGAAATAGATGGCATTCACCAGCACAAGTTTAGATGAGTTGTTAACTACACCAGGAGGTAATAGGTCTGGAATTTTCCCTGAAAAGACAAAGAAATATTTTTTAAATAATCTTCCTATCATAAACTCAATTTGAACCAATGTTACACTAGTGTTCAAATGTAGTTCAAATATATAGCTTTCTCCTTCATTCTCCTTTAACAAGCAATTCCATTAGAAAACTCAACCAAGGTTCAAATTGGTTATGGTTTATATTGGTTACAGAAGTGAAACATTGTTGTTGCTCTTGCTATGTGCCATAGAGAACTATGACTCATAGTGACCCTCTGCACACACACGGGAACCCTGCCCTATTTTGAGCCAGACTCACTGATTCTGACACATCTAATGGCATCATGTCAATTCGTTTTACCCAGGGTATTCCTTTCTTGCTTTGTCTCTCCATGTTTCCAAGCATGATGTCCTTTTCCAAGACTAAACCCTCCTGGCCACATGCCCCAAGTATGTGAGAAGGAGCTTCAAAATCCTCCTAGCCTTCAAGCAGAAACTTAGTTTCATTCTCTCCAAGACAGACTTAATTGTTCTCCTTGCAGTCCATGGTATGATCAATACTCTTCTCCAGCACTAAGTGAAGGTTTAAAGGAACTTAGTTGTTATGTAAACCGGAAGATGAACACATCTAACCATATAGAATGTCAACACTTCCTAAGTGTGTGCTAAAAGGCTATTTTTTTCCATTTATAGATTAATTTTTTAAAATTATTTTTAATGAAAGTTTACAGAGACTTTGGATTTCCATTCCTTCATTGTTTACTTTTTTCCCTGCCCATTCCTTGCCCTAATTTGCTCTTCTCTTAGAAGTGTAAAAGAAAAATTCTTGCATTGTTATAAAACCCCTATCCCCAAGTCCACTCCACTATCCTTCCTTCATTCTCAACTCCTGTCATAACAATAATACCTAATCATATATCCCTTTTAAACAGTTGTCTCCTTCATCTGTTTCAATGTAGTATACATTATTTATCTACTTTTTCTCATTCTCCTCCCAAACTCTATGTAAGTTATCTTTTATAACAGTGGCATTATGCAGTATTTGTCCTTTTGTAACTGAGATATTTCACCAAGCATAATGTCCTCCACGATCACCCATTTTGTATTATATTTCATGAGTTCCCTGTTTTTCAATGCAGCATAGTATTCCATTATGGGAGTATATCACAGCTTCTTAATTCATTCTTTCATTGATGGGCATTTGAGTTGTTTCCAACTCTTTGCTATTGTGAACAAAGCCACAATAAACATAGATGTACGTATTTCTGCTTGGGTGGCAGTTATACTTTCTTTAGGGTATATTCCCAGTAGTGGAATTGCTGGGTCAAATGGTAATTCTATTTGCAATTTTCTGAGAAAGCTCCAAAAAGCCTTCTATAGTACCCAGTTGTTGTTGTGTTGTTATGTGCCGTCGAGTCGTTTCCAACTCATAGCGACCCTATGCACAAC